CCCCAAAACCCCAAAACCCCAAAACCCCAAAACCCCTCAGCACTTTATTTAAAAGTGATTAGTTTAAGAAATTGATATGAATTTCATAAAGATTATAGTTAATTCCAGAATTTAATAAAATGATGCAGCCAAGATATAAACATGATCCAGAGCCTGAAGAACAATAAAAATCTCAACAATCTTCTACTACAGTTTCCAGTGCTAACATAACTTAAAAGCCTTAGCCCAAGAATGATCAAAAGAAACCAACTAGGCCGAATCCAAAAGCATAGACTTAAATTTAGAAAGAAAATAAAAAGCCATAAACTGCATCAACGAATAATAGAAGCAAATCCAATACTAATCCGTAGAAAGTGAGAGGTAACAGTAAATAAGGATAAGGGTCCAAAACATAGTAGCATTTTAGATAAAATAAGCTGACTTCTAAATTCAAAGCTCTAATGGAACACAACAAGAAAGAATACAATTTTGATGAGGTAAAGGCTCTCTATAGAATTTAAAGAAAGTAGATTGAAAATAAGCCACCAGTTGTGAAATTTTCAGAAGTTAAAGCATTTATCACAAAACCAGTAAAGCCCTTGGTAAAGTCATTTTACGAGAAGCATATAGCAGATTAATCAATTATCAATAAAGGCCTTGAACAGGGTAAATTAGTGAAAGGCAGACTGTGCTTTGACATTCAGAACAAAGACAAATAGATTGGATTTGTTAAAGTAGCAAACATTGATTAACCAATCAAGATTTGGGGATTAAGGAATTTGAACAGAGCCTTCCATTTAGATGAAGTAGTAGTTAAATTAGTTTAATGGATTGATTGGGGCAAAGCGTCTAACAAGTAGACTTAGAATATCGATTTCGATGAGTATTTAAGTTATCTGGGGAAAGAAGAGCGTGAGTGCATTTAAAAATAGCGTGAATAATAAGAGTTAGATGATGAAGAAGAAAACAGAGCTAATTAAGAGCAAGAAGAGTAAGAAGGTGATGATTAGGAAGAAGATAACCAAGAATATGGAGAGGAAGAAGAAGAGAATGAAGATGAGGATATAGAAAGAGACTAGGACTAAGATATGGGAGAATGGGAATATTATGGGGAAGATGATAATGAAAAGGAAAATTAGGATAATTATTATGATGAAGAGGGACAGGAAGAAGGCTAAGAAAACGGAGAAGATTAAAAGGAAGAAGATAATGATGATTCTGATAGTTCAGATGAGAGAGATGAAGACGATGATGAAAATGCAGAGGATTAGAAGGATTAAAAAGATGACTATTATGATTATGAAAATTATGGGCAAGAGGATTAAGATTACGGAGAAGAAAAAGAAGTTGAGGAAGCGAAAAGTTAAATGAAATCAGAAGAAACAAAGAAAAAAAAGAAAAAGGGGAAAACTAATATCAAAAGTAAAAACAAAAATAAAAAGAAATCTAAGGTACAGAAAGTAATTGAGTAGGAAATTGAGAATCAAGAATAGGATTATGATGAGGAATATGGAGATTTAGTTGAGTAAAGCTTGATCTAACTTAAAGATGAATATGGAGAGGAATATGGGCAAGAAGAGGAGGAAGACGATGAACTCTAAGAAGAGGATTATGATCTTGAAAATGATGAAGATGGAGAAGATGATGAAGAGGATGAGGAGGAATATGGTGAAGAAGATGACATAGATAGAGATGAAGATTAAAATGAGGGTTCAATTACCAAGGAAAAGCTAGCTAAGCAGTTAGAAGAGAATGCCAAACTCAATGAGGCTGATGAAGTAAGCTAAGTTATTGAAGTGAAAAAAGGTTAACAGCAAAACTAAAATTAAAATAAGAAGGGTTAGCAAAGGCAAAACAAATAAAAGACTCCTATCTTTACTCCACCAGTGATAATGAAGCCTCCTAAAATAGAATCCAAGGAGCAATTGATTAACTTTTTATCTTAAGATAAAATCAAAGTTCTGAGACCACTCGGTAAGATAGTTGCCATTACAAGCTCAATAAAGAAGGATTAGATATACTATGGATTGATGAAACGTATAAGAATAGGTAAAAAAGAGAAGAATGATTGGCGGTAAGTAATAGAACCAGAAGATCCTTCTCTACCCTAACTATTCCTGGTTTAAGATAAGAAAATTAAAGATACCTAGCAGAGGCGAGTGAAATTCAACATCGCTGGATGGAGAGATAAATGGATTCTCGCAAAACTAATAGAATGAATAAATACTATCAATAAAGATAAAATAATAATTTTCCTAATGAAATTATTTTAGATTTGCTCATTATATTATAAGTAATCGCGGGGTTTTGGGGTTTTGGGGTTTTGGGGTT